ATAGAAGAAAGTTTTCTTGTGTTGAGGGAGTACTTGAGTGGAGGCCCAATGTCCTTCTGCTACCTTAATACTAAACCTATAAATGTTAATCTTTTTATTACTTTATCTTGATGTTGCTTTTTTGTTCAGTTGTGAGGATTGTGGTTTTCTTTATGTTGAGTTTATCATTCTGATAGCACTGCAGTCTTCACCAATAAGTGCTTCCTGTCCTCCTTGTTTTCAGCCCCCGAAGTTGTGTCATCTGCATAGCACAAGTCGTTAGTGATCATGATGTTGAATTCATGATCCTATAAATCCAACTTCTTGGATTACTTGCTAAGCATACAGATTGAATAAATATTGTTAAAGGATTAGCAATATTTTTACTGATATTTTACTTTTGCTGATATTAAATCTTACACTGTCCTCTATTCTGTTTGGATTACTGCTTTTTGGTCTCTACATTGGTTTCTCAGAGCATAACTAAGTGTTCTAAGAACTCTTATTTTTCTCAGTATTATCCATAGTTTGTATTATCCACATAGTAGAATATCTGTGCACAATCAATAAAATACAAGTAAAAAGTATATATCCTTTTGGTATTCTCTGTTTTCAGCTAAGATCCATCTGTATTAGCAGTGATATTCCTCATTCCGTCATCTTCTGAATCTGCTTGGATTTCTAATAGTTCCTTGCTGCAATCATTTAAAAATGACCTTCAATAATATTTTACTTGCATATGAACTAGTCATATTGTTCCATAATTTTTGCATTCTATTGGATCAGCTTTCTTTGGACTAGACACAAATAAGGATGTCTTCTAGTTGGTTACTCAAGTAACTGTTTTTTAAATTTCTTGGCATAGGCAAATGAGCACGTTAGCATCTATTCATTGCAACAGCTCAATTGGTATTCCCTCGACTCTGGGAGCTTTGGTTTTCACCAATGCCTTCAGCACAACTTGGATGCCTTCCTTCAATACCATTGGTTCTTTATCATACATTACCTCTTGAAATGGTAGAACATTGACCAATTCTTTTTGGTACAGTGACTCTGTATTCCTTCCAACACGTTTTAGTGTTTCCTGCATGAATAAATAATCTGTCCATAGACTTTTTCACTATTGAAACTTGAATTGTGAATTTTTTCTACTTGAGGAAATAACCTTTATCATTTATAAAAGACAGCAGACAAACAAACAAACAGAAAAACCAGTCACCGTTGAGTCAATTCTAATCATTGTGATCCCATGGTCTTAGGGAACTGGACTCTATGGTGTTCCCAGGGCTGATTTTTCTGAAGTGTTAACTTTCTCTTTCTTATTTGCACCACTTTTAGCAGTTAGCAGCAAAGCTTGTTAACTACTTTCAATATGTAGGAATTAAGGGAAAAAACCCACTTACAGAATGCTTCTATGCTTGCCAAACAAGTCTGTTAGTTGACCAATTCCAAAATACTGCAGGTGAAGTTGAATTATGGATAGGGAAAACTCTGCATGAGATTACATCCTTGGCTAATCTGCATTAATAGTTCAGGTGGCTGACAGACAATCACCGTGTGTGTGTTTTATTTGCTGTATCTGCAATACTGTGGCATTCAGGATATTGAATACAAACCTTTCAGTAGTGTCAACTGTAATTGTAAAAAAAGTGTCAAGTGTAATTTGTGTTGTGGATATGCAGGCACACGTTAACTATAAAATCATTCCTTTTTTTTTTAATAATCAGCTGTCAAAGCTTGAAAAGCAACAGCAGCGGAAAGAAAAGACCAGAACCAAGGGGCCTTCGGAGTCCAGCAAAGAGAGACCTACTCCTCGGAAAGAAGACTGCAGTGCCAGCAGCGGAGCGGAGGGGGACGTGTCCTCAGAGCGAGAGCCATAGACGACACCGGAACCAGGTAGCGGTCCCACACTCCGTAGAATTGCATATGCTCACGGCTTTTGGAAATTGTAAGGAGCAGAAGAGAAGATGACTTCTGTCTTCGTAACTGAGTGCTGTTGTAACACAAATGGCAGAAGTATTTATTCTCTCACCATATAGGAGGCTAGAAGTTCAAATTCAAGGTTTCAGCTCTAGGGGAAATCTCGTTTTCTTTTGGTTTGGAGAGATGTTATTATTTTTTTAAAGATCAGTTTGTTGGGGGCTCCTACAGCTCTTCTAACAGCCCATACATCACTTTTACCAAGCATATTTGTACATATGTTGCCATCATTATTTTCTAAACATTTTCTATTTGAGCCCTTGGTATCAGCACCTCTTTTTTCCCCACTCCACCCCTCCTACCCTTGTAACCCCTTGATAAATGATAAATTGTTATTATTTTCATATCTTACACTGACTGCTGTCTCCCTTCACCCACGGTTTCGATTGTTTGTCCCCCTGGCATGCGTGCATGTGTGTGTGTGTGTAGTTACGCGATCATTGTGATCAGTGCCCCCTTCCTCCCCTCCTCTCTCCCACCTTCCCCCTACCCTCCTGGGAGGGGAACCCCTTATGCTGGGTTGGAGGAAGGTCCTTTTATTTATTTATTTTTAATTTTATTTAAAAATTCATTTTATTGGGGGCTCTAACAGCTCTTATAACATTCCATACATTAATTGTATCAAGCATATTTGTACAAATGTTGCCATCATCATTTTCTAAACACTACTCTCTATTTGAGCCCTTGGTATCAGCTCTTCTTTTTTCCCTCCCTTTTCCCTCCCACCCTCATGACCCCTTGATAAATGGTAAATTATTATTATTTCCATATCTAATGTTGACTTCCATCTCCCTTCACCCACGTTTCTTTTGTTTGTTCCCCTGGGGGTGGTGGTAGTGATTAATGCACCGATCATTGAGATCATTTGCCTTTTCCTCCCCCTCCCCCTCCCTTTCCCCCTCCCCTCCTGGTATCGCTACTTCCATTTCTGTTCCTGAGGGGTTTATCTCACCTGGATTCCATGTGTCCTGAGCTCTTACCTGTACCAGTGTACATACTCCAGTCTAGCCAGAACTGAAAGGCAGGACTGGGGTCATGGTAGTAGGGGGTGAGGAAGCCTCAAAGAACCAGAGGAATATTGTGTGTTTCATGGGTGCTCTACTACTTCCTGGTTGACTCATCCCTTCTTTGTAACCCTTCTGTGAGGGGATGTCCCACTGTCTACAGATGAGTTTTGGGTCTCTGCTCCAACACGCTTATTTTTTAACAATATGTTTTTTTTGTTTGTTTTGGGTCTTCTGGTGCTTGTTACCTGATTCTGTCGATACCTCATGATTGCACAGACTGATGTGCTTCTTCCATGTGGGATTGTTGCTTCTCTGCTAGATGGCTGCTTGTTTGTCTTCAAGCTTTTAAGACCCCAGATGCTCTATCTTTTGATAGCCAGGCACCATCAACTTTCTTCACCACATTTGCTTATGCATCCATTTTGTCTTCAGTGATGGTATTGGGAGGGTAAGCATCACAGAATTCCAGGTTGGTAGAACAAAATGTTCTTGTATTGAGGGAGGACTTGAGGAGGGGCCCGAAATCCATCCACTTCCTCGATGTATTGCCATTTAAATATATGTACCATATATACTCAAGTATAAACTGACCTGAATATCCGCCAAGGCACCTAATTTTACCACAAAAATGGCATTAAAAATGTGCTGAAAAACGTATGGCTTATACTCGAGTATATATGGTACATAAGCCAATACTTCTATTTTTATGAATTAATATCTTTACATAAGTGCACACCTATGTTTATACCTCTATTCATAGCTTTGCTTCCTAGGTCTTTCCTGTTTCCTTTTACTGGAAGAAGGTCCTTTTAATCAATCTCCTTAGTGTAAGAATTTCTTGATATATAGGTTCAAAGGATGTGCTCCATTCTTGGCTTATCTTTTTGATGTACAGAGGCCCCTCTTATCTCTTCTCCTTTGTTTAATACCTTTTATAAGACTAAGTAAAAAAATATTGCCACAAGGGTTCTAGTTTATATTTCCATGGGTTTATACTAACTTAAACGTGTTTCTGTGTTCAATGGCTGGCTGTAGACAAGATCTCTACTTGTCTTAGCCTCATTAGAGTGCTTTCAAAAAGTTCAAACAGAACAATAACTTCTGAGGGGCTCTGTTAGACTATTAAATTCAGGGCTGAGAGGTTAGCTCAGAAAGTATGGTAAGTGACTTTTTCATTCTTTTTTTTTTTTAATTCTGAAGGGTAGTCTTAGTAAGAGTTTCTTGAAGGAGGCATGACAGTTACAGGGAGTTACTCTAAGTTTTAAGATTAAAAACTGCATTGGTCAGGAAAAAGGCAAAGGAAGTTGTGTTGAGAAATTGTTTTCCATCACACCAATGCACCCACTCATTCTTTGAGGGTTGCAAAGGCTGTCCTAGGAGAAGTTCATTGGTAAAGTGTATCCCACCTACCCAATATCCCTGAATTTGCCCCGTTAGACTTGTTTTTGACCCCCAAATTCAAAGAACATTGAAAAGAACACAGCTTGAGTCCTTCAAGGATGCCAAACTTACTGTTACGATATGGTATGAATGGAAGAGCACAGAATTCTTCAGGGAAGGATTAGAAAGCTGGAAACATCACTTCAGAAGTACATAGACCTAGATAGACAATATGGAGAAAAACAATAACTTCATCTTTTGCTATTGGACATGTCAGGGGAGACCAGTCCCTGGAAAAGGACATCATGCTTGGTAAAGTAATGGGGCAGTGAAAAAGAGGAAGATCTTTGTGTTAGTTTGAGTAGACGAGAGAAACAAATTCATACACACTCATGTGTATAAGAAAGAGTTTTATGTTCAACAGCAGTTGAATATTGAGGAAACATCCCAGCCCAGTCCAGATCAAGTCCATACGTACATTCAGTATTAGCCCATATGTTCATTACCAGTCTGTAAAGTCTTCTTCAGATTCCCACAGCACATGCAATGATGCCGAATGCAGGAAGAAAGATCACAGGCCAGTGGGTGGAAAGTCTTGTGTATCCACTGGCGGTGGAATCCTCTTAGCACTGGCAGGGGTCTCCATGTGGCTCCTTCAGCTCCAGGGCTCTAGCATAGCTCCATGTGTCTTGTCAATAAGCCTGTCTAGCAGGGAGTGAGCGTGTGCCACCTCCAATGAGCTATTTATCTCCTTAGCGAGTCCAAATGAGGTCATCAAGCTGAGACCTGATTGACAGGCTAAAGTCCACCCCTTCACTTTCAAGTCTCAAATTGACACCAGATTATGTAACTACCACAGCCGTAGGCAAGATGAATTGGCACAGTGGCCGCAGTGATGGGCTGAAACAAAAGAACAGTTGTGAGGATGGCACAGGACGGGGCAGTATTTTGTTCTGTTGCACATAGGGTCACTATGAGTTGGAACCAATTTGACAGCACCTAACAACAACATGTAGCAATACTTTTTAACTCACCATGGTGTATCTCAAGAGAAATTAATTCAAGGTGCAGCCTAATCCTGTTGATTATATCCTGCTTCATAGAAGCTTTGATCTATAACACACAGGATAATTGTATCAGATCCCAAAATAGAAGATAATTACAAAATACTGAAGATCGTTGCTAGCCAAATTAACACATATTTTGGGGCAACATAAATTCAATCCATAACTATTATGAGCAGGATTCATTTTAGGATCATTAATTCATAGGTGATGTTGCTGTTAAAATTATTTATTGCAGTAAAACTCATAATAAAACATTTGCTATTTTAACCATTTTTATGTGCATAATTTACTGACATTTAAGTATACACACCATGTTGTGTAACTATCACCACTATCTATTTCCAAAAATTTTACATGACCACAAACAGAAACTTAGTATCCTTTTAAGCTATAACTCTAAATCTCTCTCTTCACCTAGACCCTGTTACACACACTTACTTAGGGTAAATATTTCATGTAATATTTGGGTCATATGAAATTTGTAACTGTCTTATGTCCTTTTGTAACTGACTTATTTCAGTCTTAGCATAAGGTTCATCTTTGTTGTAACATGTACCACAACTTTATTTCTTTTAATGACTGAATAGTATTCTATTGTATGGATAAACTACATTTTGTTTATTCTTTCATCTGTTGATCGGCACTTGAGTTGTTTTTACCGGTTGGCTATTGTGAATAATGATACAATGAACATTTGCAAACTCTTTTTTTAAAAATTGTTTTATCAGGGGCTCATACAACTCTTATCATAATCCATACATACATCAATTGTGTAAAGCACATTTGTACATTCATTGCCCTCATCATTCTCAAAGCATTTGCTCTCCACTTAAGCCCCCGACATCAGGTCCTCATTTTTTCCCCTCCCTCCCCGCTTCCCCCTCTCTCAATTATTATGTTGTCATATCTTTGCAAACTCTTTTGAGTTCCTGATTTCAAGTCTCTTGATTTGAATAGTGCTTTTACTATATTCCTTCTCTACTCTTTTGATCTATTCTGTTTTCAGTAGCATTCAGTTCAAATTATTTTCTACGTTTCCTTGTAGAAGCCTCTTCTAAGACTGTGATTTTGAAGTCTCTGAATATTAGGTCATTGAAGATAGGAATACCATGGCAAATTGTGGTGAAGAATGAGATGGTACCTGGTTATCAGGAAAAATAGTACATGGGGTCTTCTTAAAGACTTCTCTCAAAACAAGCAGCCATCTAAGTGAGGACTCAGTTAAGTCCGCATGGAAGAAGCACACCAGCCTGTCTCTCAAGGATTGTAAATAATAAGATCCAAACCCAGAGGAAAGAAGGGTAACAGTGCCTAAATTCTAAAACCTGATTTGTGGACAATAGTGGATCATTGTGGAAGCCCCAAATCCACTTGTAGGTCCTTACATGGACTGAGTCCCTAGTGAATCCTCACTGTCCACTGTCTGTGAATGTGAACAGCACTACTATCAGGTGATAGTGGA